GGCGATGCACGAGGAGGGAGAACGCAGAGCTGGACTATTCTACATGACAGGTATGCCGGGTCCGGTGGCTCTCCTCATGTTTTTTTCAAACCATAGTCCGGCCCCCCAACATTCTGAGGGACCGTGAACTGGCCCTCTGTTTAAAAAGTTTGAGGACCCCTGGTTTAAGTACTCCCCATATCAGAAACTTGCCAATTGGAAATTGGCATTTCATGAACAAGTCTACATTCTTACAACTCCTCTCAAATATAGTAACTTTCAGTGAATGGGGTACTAAGTCTTTAATATTACAGCTGTAGAAAAAGGCTACATTTTACTTAATCATATAACAGGCCAGTGACAGGCTACCAGCTGGCTTCAAGAGTTGTAAGCTTAACTAAGAGGCACCCTAGTGAGTCAGAAATCACTTCCCTTCCCCACCTTCCCACTACCTTCTCAATTCTGAAACAGCTGAGACATGCTTGCAGTACATACAAATCAGCAGGGAGAAATGGGTATTTTTTGCACTAACTTTTCCTTCAACCCAGCCTTATATTTTCCTAATAATCTGCTCACACTCCTTCTACTCAAATATCTGCATATCCATGATAAAAACTCTTCTTTGTAGCTTGCTCTCTCTACGTACATCTTTCTGTTACCTCTCTTTGTCTATTTTTCTTCTTTCAAGTAGTTCCAATTTTAGACAATTCCCTTGCTATTAATTTGCTTCCTTCCTTAGCTCTTATCCTTCTCTGATTTTTAGGCCATTTCCTAAAAATCCATCATGGTGTTTCTTTCCTATGCAAACTTGACTCCACCACCGTCTTCTCAAAATATAAAGTAATCCCTGACTTTTTAACTCAGTGGTACTCTTTTAATGAAGGGTATATCTAAGAGAGCAAAGATGGGCTCCCAAGTAGAACCACAATATTCTACTTAGCCACACATCGTTTTCTAACTCCCCCATATCCATTTTTTCGTTAATGATATATTAGGTTACAGTTAACTAGGGAGCAGGCAATTACTATTAGGAAGGACAAAGGACAGGGTTTATTGTTTTTTCAGTAGATCTTAAATATGCAATGGTCATTTTACTCAACATTGCTGTTTTGAAATTATCAGTATAATTTTCTTTAAAAGAAGTTCTGTTCAATTCAGTGCTTATAAATTGAAAGCATTTTGTAATTTCCATGTCTGTTTGGAAAATCTAGCATCAAAATGTGTATTTAAAATACAAGATGGATATTAGATAAAATAATATCCCAATGGCAGCCTTTTCCAATGTTTGTCCCTCCAGAAATTTCAGCAAAGTTCATGCTGGCTAGGGAATTTTGGGAGCTGAAGTCCACACTTCTGAAGGGCACCTAGGTTGGGGTGGCTATTCTAGGTTACTAGTAGGAAACATACTGCCCTCCAAATATGTTGAACTACAATTTCAATATACTTCATCCAACATAATCATTGTTCAAGAATTATGAAAATTCTTCCTGAAATATCTAGGAGACACCATATTGCCTTCATCTATTTGAGGTACATGGATCATATATATTCAGTTGAATTTCACCAGTTAGAATGAGCATTTTATATATGTTAAAAGTCCTCTATTAAGCAAAAGGATCACCTGCAAGCTTAAGCAGCAAACTAGTTCCCTCCCCACTTCATTGTTCTGTTTTATGTTGAAGGATGCACTAGTATTCAAGGCATCAATATTTTCATATTGTAAAGCCAGGAACGTCTTGATGGCTGTTATAATCACCTGCATAGGCATTGGCCTGTTGCAATAATTCTGTGCAGGTGTGCACATCTGCAAAGGCGCGAATTCCAAGGCAATTTGTGGGGTGGAGCTGAGACTGAAGAAAGTCACAACAGTTCTGTCGAACATCCATCAGCTGTAATAGGCTGGCAGCTGGCAGTAAAACCTGAAAGTTGAAAAAAGAATCAGCAAGAAAGAATTAGCAATTGAAGTCCCAAGCTGCCTCCTCCAAAAAACAATACATTGAAACATGATTTTAAAAGGTATTGAAAACTAACCATACTATAACACACTTGGGCAAGAAAGGAACTGCATTTCTTTACTTCCTTAGCATTCTTCAGCCAAACAGAAAAATAAAACTGCAGCATGCCCTGAGGTGCATTCATTCTACTACAGCAAGAACAATCCAACCCAGCTGGATCACACGGGAATATTACAAATCAGTAACTTTTTTAAATAGCACTAACCCCAACAGGCATCAATAAAATAGAGAAATTAATTAAGTTGTCAGTCTCTAGGCCTCAACACTGATTCTTAGAATAGATTAGCTTAACCTAGTAAAGGGAAACTAATAATGATTGTTTCTCTTTCAGCTAATATCAGTTCTTCAGGGTTTTAATATTCTACTTAAACAATGAAGGATGAAATGTAAACATAACTTACAGCACTTTTCCCAGTAAGGGGAGCATCCACATCTATGTTGTATTTCAATGGTTAAATTATTGGAGTATCACATACCAACAGCCAGCACTTTCAAAATCTGCTGGTAAACCTGACCCTCAAGCATCCTTTAGAAACCCTTTCACAGATCTCCTCAGATTGAGAGAAACAGTTTAAGTGTGTTCCATCTCTTGTTCATGGTCTTCCACGGGATTGGAAATCCTAAGTGTGCAGGTTCCTGACTCCATGGAGAATAATTACTCTGTGAAGATGGAGACAGTTACAGCTCAGCACAGACCTTCCCTGCCAATGCAAGGGAACATAGGTGGAAGAGATGGAGATGGGGTTCTTGCCACCCTCCCATCCATACTTTCTATTTTATAATGCCTGGAGAGGGCTTCAAAGTGATCCCAACTAGAATGTGAGACCAGGAGTTGGAATGTATAAAAACAGACAATATGAATTGAATGCTAGCCTTTGGACATCCAAAACCATACTGCAGTAGACTGCAAACTTCATTTAAAATCTGTAGCTTTCAACTTTCCTAATCCTTATTAAACTCTGCCTGAATTGAAATCTTGAGCAACGAAACTAGATCAAGCTATTTTATTTTCATTGTCATGTCAGATATAATGCTCCCGAAGTACATTCTGTACTTTTAAATTCTTCAGAGATACTTAATTTTAATAAGACCACACCAATTTTGTGTGTGTACACATTCATGCACACGTGAGTATAATAGACAGAATGATAGTGATTCATTCTAAATTTCAACCCAAAATGTATTCTGTTCTTTTTTTTTTCCTCCCATCATTAAAAATGAAAAATTTGCAAAGTGGCTTACATAAGAAAAGCAGTAATCTTTTATCTCTACTTCAGATAAACACAACTGAAATTAGTGGATCTTCTGACTGAGATGTGTACAAAACAACACTGTAAATTGTACTAACAGCAATGACAAAATAATTAGATGAAACAAAATATGAACAAGCATATTTGGTAATAAATTCTACTATAGGTTTATTGTCCATGTTTCCCAATAATTTACACATAACATTTTCTAATGCAACATTTTACAGAACTAAAATACATACATATTTAGATCAATAATTTTGAACAATATAGGAAAAAATATTGGCTGAAAGAGTTTTTTCATGAATCAGCAAAGAGGCCTCAGGTATTTTTTAAATGCGCTTGTTCACAATTGATCTCTGCATTTTATTTATATCAATAAGATGGAAAATACATTGCCTTTACCTATCATAATGTCATTTTGCATAGTAATATTGAATATGAAAGTTTAAAATGGCTGTATTTCTTAAGATTTCAAATGTTCTTTTAAATGATTTTAACCTGGTTTCTTATGTTGTCCTATTTCATACTTGGGGATGTACTGGTATTTTGTTTGCTTTAATTAAAAAATAATAATAAAATCAAGAACCAGCAGAAAATTGGTCATCAAAAGCCTTGTAGAATAGAAGGCATTCCAAAGTTATTTCCAGGGCAGGGAGCTTCAATGAGATGCCAAAACCACCGACTAACCAAGAGATTCTTCTCAGCTTTCCTCACCTGGACATTCTCTTCTGTGACCTCTACCTCTGCTGTGTAGATATAATCAATTAATTTGCTTAAGGTTAGTCCATCAACGTCTTTGATCTCAATCTTCTTTGCTTTGCTTTCACTCATATCTCCTGAAATTCAATTATAGAAATTATTTTAAAAGGCAGTCATAGTTTGAGTTGGGAGAGATCCCATTAGGGTCCATCAACTTATCTTTTTATTTTAAAAGCCACTTTTGGAATAGCCAAAATATGTTTGGGAAGGTGAAGGCATCTCTCTTTGAATCAATTACTAGGTATCTATTATTTTGGGGATGGTGCAGTAGTAGGTTTCTGGAATGGGCGGAGGGTAGGACTAGATAACCTCCCAAATCCCTTTCCAGCTCTTACAATTTATGTTTCTATATTACAGCTTCTAAACTTGAGAAAGCATTATTCTACTCTTTAACTGTACTTTTACTCTTCAGTTTCTGTTTTCCTTTATATCCAAACTTCAGAATAGGTGGCCTGATTAAAACCAGAGTGGACAAGAGCATTTTTGGATGTATTCCATGTATGTTTGGGGATGGATTTTAATTAGCTAAAGATAAAAAAAAACTGAAGATAGTGTGATGAAATCTGAACATTCAAATTGTATCTTTCCATTATGAATTCTTACCACTACATATCCACATTGCCGAGTTTTGTAATTTCTAGTTCATAAATCAGAGTTTTATCATTTACAGTGCTCATTTTGAATTTTAACTTGATTTAAGAAAGAAGTCAGTGTACTTATCCATCACCTAAATCAGAGGTTCCCAACCTGGGATTGCAAGATGGAATTTCAGGGGGTGCAACAATTTTATGCAATGAGTTAAAAGCTTTTTTTTTAAAGTTCAGTTTGTTCACCTGTAATAGAAATTAGACTTCTTCATCTTCAAATGTGATATTACTTTTGTAAGGGGTGCAAACAGTAATCAAACATTTCCTAGGGGTGTAGGACATAGAAAAGGTTGGGAACCACTGACCTAAATGCTTTCCTTTTTCTCTCAAACACATTTCTTGCTTGATATTCCTGGGAAGAAGAAAAATATTTTCTTGCCTCTCCTACATAAGAAGAGATTCTGTCTGTTACTCAAAATGAGGCCAAATGCCATGAATAAAACAAATTCCCTGCATACTGAGCAGTAGATAATTCCTCTGTGTTTATCACTACTGAGTTTTTATCATGGAGGACAACATAGTTCTAACCTATCATTGGCAATGGATTACCTTGATAAATATTCTACCAAAGGGTTCCTTAATCACCTGTATAACATATGAAGCGTGAATTTTATTCTTTTTCTGTCACACATTCAGATAGGTAGCAAACCCTTAGATCTTCACCAAGTAGTAAAGTATTTGCCCATACAGTTGAACAATCTGCATTGTCATAGCAAAGTATTTCAGCACAGAAAGTATCCCTGCTCTTCATGAATGTGTTTCATGGCTGATGTCATCTGTAGTGTGTGGCAATACCTAGCCAACTTTGCCTGATCAGGAAAAACAAAAAACTACTCAAGGTTGACAATTTATTATCTAATGTAATTATCTGGGGAGGCTTTTTCATTTTCAAAGGATGGTGCATAGTAGATTTGAAGAGAAAAGGGCAATGGGGAATATACATGGGCGGGAGGGAAAAAGCGCACTTGCTCTAAGGAGTTGCTGACAAATTGTACATGAGCACAGCACAGACTTCCAAGCATCTTTTTCCCTTTGAATCTGCACAGCCTTTACGTGCATGTGCACAGAAAAGCGGAACCACTTTTAAAAAAAAAAAACCTTATAAAAATTGCCCGTACTGTTTGGAAAGCAATACAAACATTGCACTATCAGTGAGAATATTTTTTAATATAACAAGAATCTTCTGCTTTCATAAACACCCCCCCCCCATATTAGTAGCAAAACACTGTGACAATTTATACGACAGGTAGAATTAACAGTGGTAGATTAATTAGTACTTTTTAGAGAAAATCAGAAACCTCATGAAAGTACAGAATCAGCCATAATCATAAATAGTGTATTTCGACATAAATTGAAGACAAGGGCAAACATCCCCTTATTTCCTAGAGTATAAGTTGAGAGCCTACATTTCCCTGAAATAGCATTAAAATCTAGAAAAGAACATTAACAAAGAAAAAAAAGGAACATTGAAAAATTAAGGTGATTGAAGTCTGGCTTAACACCAACTGAGGGATGTCATGACATATCACTGGGAAATACACCTAACCCTTTTTTGTGTGTGTATAAGTGCTATAAAGAAAGTTGATATTAAGCCAAGCTTCTCTAAACTATCTGTATCTTTCATACAATAGCTTAGTACTTATTAAAAAAAAAATCGGAGTTGTCTTCAACACAGAAATCAATGCTTCCAATTACTTTGAAACAAAAAAGTACACATAACCCAGTATTTTAAAACAGAGCAAGAAATGAATACTTATAAAGAAAGGGCTAATCCAATGTTCTTAAAAAGAGAGTTACATAAGTGGATTTCTTAAAACTGGGTGAGCGGTCAACCAAATGGCAAATGTTTTAATTTAAATAAGGGGAAAGTGATGTATAGTGGGGTAAACCCCTAACTTCACACGAATGCATGCAGTTCATTCTAATACTCTAAACAAAATATTATTTTAATTAATTATCTTGGGCTAGATTTACTTTCCCCAGGAAAAAGGATATTTGACATATCAACTGAAGCTGGGCAAAGCTACTTACCACAATAATCTTGTTGTCCTCCAGGAACAATGCTGGGCCCAAGAAAGACCCTCAAGCTGTGAATCTGCTCCTTCAGAGTGAATGGAACTCAATCTAGAACAAGTATTCCAAATCAACTTCTCTCATGACCTTTACCTTCCCTGGACTGAATATAAGCTTTTCAACATCTAATTTAGCACTATATCCAGTTTAGGGCCATCATTGCTTTCTTGGCCCCTACATTCCAGAAGATCATTCTCAGCAGGTTCACAAAGACAAACCATATGGATGAAATACCATATGGATGAAATATAGTCAGAGGAGGCCTCACAAAACAATAATGTCCATGAAACGTAAACTTGAAAGCACTGTAAAGCAATGACCTCAAAGAAACTGTATTAAAGATCAGATGGGCTTGAGAGCTTCATTTTAGATTTCATGGAGTACTTAAACAATTTCCCTTTTATTTCCTTATGTTATATAGATGAAGGCTAACAATCAGCCACAAAATCAACACTGAAGAAAGAAACCATTATTTCCTTCACTATCATTTCTATGAAAGGAATGAAAAAAGGAAGCTGCCTTATCAAAATCAGCTTAACTTTCTATTCTCTTGTTGCCTTTTCAGAGTCTTAGATTCATAAGGAATCTTTCAATCAGAGATACCAGGAATTGAACCTAGGATCTTCTGCATGCAAACCATATGCATTACCACTAAACTACAATCCCTTCCTTACACTTTCTATTTCTTTTTTTAATTGAGTTGTTTAAACTCTTCTTTTGAGTTTATGTTGGCTGTTCTAGCAAGCTTGAAACTAGGAAAGAAGGAAGGACAGACGGACAGACAGACAACCCTTTGTGTCTCTTCTTGGTAATTCTTAATTTCCTGATCAAGAAGATGCATTAGGTGGGATGGAAGCATGGCAGTAGCAGACCCATCTCTCTCTTCTCCTTTTCCATCTTGATACTGGGTATTAGCAAGATTGCCACTGCTTCATTCAAAAAAAATAATCTTCCTGTTTCTCAGATGGTGTCAGATCCTGCACCCTGACTATCATATGCTAGTCTCCTATTTAGCACTTTGGAGGCAACAAAGTCAATCTGCACAATTGCAATGTTACAGCAATCAAGCTATACTTAAGTGCTTTAAAGACCACTTCACACAAGCCAAATGTTTAAAAAAATCTGGATTGTATCAGTCAAATGTCATGTATATATATTTTATTATGTTTCCATTTCTTCATTGTTCAAGCAAAAAGAAACTATGTGTTTTTTAGCGACTATGATCATAAAAGTCAAAAGAGCTAATTATTAATTGTAAAATATAATATTGATGGAATATAGTAACAAAAGTAAGATACTTAGTGAATTGTGGCCTGCAGAGGATTCACACCAAGAGTAATATTATGGCCCAAGCAATGTTTTTCTATTTTTTGGGTAACACCGGTCAGCACAGTTGCCTTACAAAAGTGATAAAGTAAGGCAAAAAATGGAGACGGGAAGCGAGAGACAAAAGTTCATGAAGCTTGTTTTCTGTCTGTTTTAAATGGATGAGTAAGTGGCCAGGTCACCTTGGTAAGGATGTTCTCCTCTACCATCAAAGCCAGTCCAATGGCAGCCTTAATGCAAAGGCCAACCCAAAACCTCCACTAAGAAGACTAGACTGATTTTAGACCTGCATTATCTCCATAATCAAACCCACAACGTAAAGCTCTATAGCCATGAGACATTCACTAAAAATGAGGAACGCTGGCTTATACTGTAAGCTATGCACTTAATGCCTATTTTTCCTTCTTCTGACAGAACACTTTTCAATAAAGGCCACACCTCTATTTAACATCCCGCATCCATGTAACAGCATCATGTAACACCACCATGTAACATTCTCTCTTCACCCTTCCCAAAATAATAATAGTTATTTGTTTGGAAAACAAAGTTACCTGTAAACATTGCACAGAAATATGGACTGCAAGCTGCTAGGACAATACGGTGGGCTTCAATTTCTATGTCTTCAGCAACAATTACCACATCACAAAGAAGCCGCTTGCTGTAAACATATCAACAATGATGGTTTCAGAACAAATTTGGCAAATACAGCACTATTAAATAAATATTAAATAAATGAAGGCTATAGTTGTCATGCTTGTTTACATTTTTATTAGGATCTATACGCCACCTACTAGAATCAGCCTTCCCAGACAAGAAAAATTACAAAAATGTAACAACACAATAATAAAAGAAACAATTATACAATAACCCACCCATTCCCAAGTCAAATGAGCCAGTACCATGTATACAGTGCCCTTGATCGAATTCAGTTTCAATTACAGGCTAAGGCACTCATGTGAGCTTTAAGAGGCCTAGTGAGATAAGGCCTAACAAACATCACATGGAAAACAACACCACAAGAAGCAAGCCACAACTGAGAAATGGCAATCCCTTGTTCAGTCTGATCAAATGGATGATGAGCACACAAGCAGGCTTCCAATGCCAACTATTTATCATGCAGCAGATTAGTCAACTAACCTCAACCCAAACTGCTTCTCTATTTACAAATATTAACAATTTAGTCTGTGCTGGAGAATAGCTGGGCAAAATCTGAAAGTGATATAATGTGACACAATGTGGTTGCACTGCATTATTAGCAAGCAGCTTTTGCACCATTTGAATTTTCAGAATGGGATAAGAGGCCAACCTAGTGCACATTACAGCATGTCAGCCTAGATATCACAAGAGCAGGCTACTCAAGTTGGTATCTTCCACACTTATTGGAACCGCAATTCCTAAAATTCTCAGATTCTAGTTTTGGCAACTAAGAATTTGGGGTGCTGCAGCTCCAATTCATCAAAAGCACACCAAGTTGGGGAAGGCTGCACTACAAAGCATGGACAGCTAAAACCAACCTAAACTGGTAAAAAGCATTCCTACTGCCCACTGCCATCTTAGCCTTCCCAGTGAATGTTGAATCTAGAACTCAGTACTTGGCCCATTAGAAGTGCAATCCAAATTAAAACCTGCTATAAAACTCAACCCAAAGTAGGTAGTTTTCAAACCCCTACAATCTCTATCTTTCTGGATTAATTTTCCACTAGCGCATCCTCCTCCATCTCTAAAAACCCTCTAGTTACTAGTTTTGTTTTTAAAGCTTAGTTTAGAGTGGGATGATTGGCCCAAAATAAAGATGAAGTTAATTTCATCATTATCCAGCTCCATGACTGTCTGATCTTCCCTCCTTAAACTGGTATTTTTTTCATCAGTATATGTAACATCCACCTTTATATTATTTGAATTTGCATTGTATATTTGTTGCAAGCTAGAACAGATGACCAGGACTTTACCAGAAGTCCCCAAGGACACTGTTATGATCTTGATGGACGATAGCACTTTAAACTGCCAGTCTATTTCCATGCTCTTCATTCAACCTACAAGGCTTTTGGCAAGTACAGTAGCATCAGTTTCTTCATCTAAAAAAGAATTAGTATTGCTCTATTTCACTGATTGCCCGTTTACCCACATGCTTGACTTTTAAGATACAAAGATCAAGCATCTTATTTATCTTCATAAAGGCTCAAATGTATTGAACATTTGGGTTTAAAAAATTGCTTCATATACATTGCACTTGCACGGGCTCATCTAGGGATAAATAGAAACATTAACAAATCAGGATAATCAATAAATAAACATAATTTAATGATGCCTGGAATTTCCAGTGCCAATGCTAACATCCCACAGGCAAGGCAACCATCCATTCTTGGACTAGCTCACATGACAGGGAAGGCTCAGAAGGCTTTTAATGTCACCAACATGTGAAGGAATCCCAAGTTATACAGACAGGTGGCAGCACCAGGTCCCACCAGCTAAGACTCTCCTTCCTCCATTCATGGGTATATACCTTCCTTGAAGAATGCCACTGGAGGCAGACAGGGTTTTTTCTCTTTTTCCTGTCCCTACTCTAATTCAGTGGCCCCTAAACACCTTTCTACATAACCCTGATATGGCAATCAGCCTTTGCCTACCAATTTAAAGCATTCAACAACTGCTATATTTTGTTCTACAATGGCACAGCAACAGCAGCAGCAGCAAGCATAAATCAGCAATTAGCATGAAAGGGAAGAGATGGCTGGGATTTCAGGGCAGCTGCAGTTTAGCTTGTGTAGAAGGGCATCATAGGCAGCATACACTGTTAGCTTCCTCCAAGAGGAATGCTGTCACTCTTTTCCCATTATCCCCCATAGCATTCAAGTTACAAAAAGAATAATCTAGTATTTTAACATCTTAATCTCTCTTGTATCCCAACTGAAGCAGCATACAACCCACAGTCCTCCAGTCTTTCATGTTCTATGCCAGCAAAGAAGAGGCAAAAGCAATTTGCTACCAAGGGATAATGGGCAAGATAATTCACTCAGGACTGGTACCTTCCTAGACAGGGCATGAAAATGCTCTTCCATGTGTTCATCCCATGGCATGGCTGTTGTGTTATAAAGCAAGGTGTGTGTATCACCAAGCAAGGGCTGATGACGAGCTGTTAAACATTACAGCTGCACTTCTGTGAACTCATTTCAGGAGGAAAGCTGTATTAGTCTCTGGTGGCAAAAAATCAGGAGTCTGGTAGTATCTTTTCCAACTAACAAGGTTTATTAAAAGACATGCTATTAAAAGGTACAAAACTTAGACTCCTGATTTTTATGTTAACTCACAGAACAGTGGTTCCATGGGTGGCATAGACAAGGAATGCAACAGAGGTACCTCTGAAAAGTACTAGGTTCCTCTCCTGGCCACATTTCTTGGGCAGCATGTTGCAATTCAGCTAGTACCATTCTATTGTAGTGCATTCTACTATAAGGCAGGCACCTGTGCTTTGCTATAGTTTTGACACAAAAAAAGTCAGGTAAGCCATGGAGCCTGAAGAATGCCAAGGTAGAAGTCTGCAGAGCAACACTGGTGCTTACAGGTAACCACTAGACTCTCACTAGACTCCTGCAACAAAACTTGCCTCAAAGTGTTTTGTTATTCTTCTAGACCTGTGTAACAACTAGAGACAAAATATTGCCAATTAATCCAAGTAGATTTCGCTTTTTGATTTAATCAACAGCTTTCAGATCTTGATGGGAGAACAGATCATTTACTATGTCTAATATGATTATCTCCATGTGGCAAAGAATATTCTATCCACAAATACCCTTTGCATTAGCCCAAGACAAGAATAGATTAATTTATGTATCTCTAAATAATATCCAGTGGGCAGTTTGCTCTGAAAAAAATTATTCATAAGCTCAAACACATACATAACTACCTTAATTAAAAAAGTGATTAGCTGTTATCATAGGCCATTTTTACAGACTAGTGGAATGGCAGAAAATATACACTCTTGCATACAGCATCACAAAATGTTTAATTGTATGAGCATTGTCAGTAAAACAAAAAACAAAACAAGTAATAAACTAGCCATTTTTCCTCTGCAATTAGGTATAGATGTATTTAATACCAGCAGAACTGCCCTATCATTTTATACATCTGAACTATATGGACATTTGTCCAAGTAGAAAACTGCATTAAAATTGTTTTATTGTGACTGAATCTGAGAGTAGCAAACTTCCAGATACGTTCTTTATAATGTGACCTTTACAATGTGATTGCTGCAGACTATCCACCTTGGCTTTATTGGCCAAATGGTCTCCCCTACTCCTTACCACTGTGTACCACTGAAGTTTAACTGCACCATCTCAGAATGGAAAGCAGTGCTACAGACCTTCTGTCCTTCATCACGCTACTATCTGAATTTTCCCAGTCAGACACAGGATCCTCCTGACCAATAGACATCTCACCAAAGTCAAGATTTGCTGCTGGCCACAACAGCCCTCAGCACCCTTTCAGCACCTGAGAGATCTGTTCCTGCCATCATGTTATATCCTAGATGGGCATCCCCTTGCCCCTCTTGTTAGGGTTCTGTAGCTTTATTGCAACCAACATCAAACTAGCTACAGGGAAGGGGAGAAGAAGCAAGTATGTGCCTAGCAAAGGGCAAGTGGGGAAGGAAGAAAACCCAGTAGCAGAGACTGGAGGCAGTCCAGGGCCCCTGTAAAAACTAGAACAGTCCTGGTTTGCAGATTCCCAAAGTTAGGTTGGTGAATCACGCTGCATACAAATCTATATAATAAAATAAATAAGTATATCAATATTGCTTAAGGTACAGTATCCAATAGATTGCTTAAATAATATAGTTATTTTGTACAACAGCACCAGCAGTTGTGTTCTACTGTGAAGCACCATATGATTTGGGAGTTCCACATGAGGAACTTCATACAAAGTACAGCAATCGAGTTTGAAGATCATGCTTGAATTGAGTATCTTTTTCCCCAAACAAAAACAAAGCATTCTGCAGGTTACATGCCTCTGACTCCAGCTAGCAAGTGGCTAATAATTGCAAGGAGATGCAAACTGAACATGAAGAAGTACCTCCTTAATTCATTCATGACTTTGAATGCCTTTCCCATGTGACAAGGATTGATGGTCACTGTCCGCTGGTCCTTATCTCCATCTGCTTCAGGTGGTTGGGGGCACCTCTTGATGCTGAAGACAAGAAAGAAAAGCAAGTAAACACCCCTTTTAATTTGCAAGAACTAAGATAAAATATGACCTAATAATTAACACAAAGCCACAATCTCATTCATTGTCAAATATTACAAATGATTACAAGTTATTAGCTTGCACAACCAGCTGTCTATACTATGTCTGCAAAGTGTAACTGGAGTACTGTTTTAATATCTCAACCATGCAAAGTGAATGCCTTTGATGTAACTATGTGAAATATGTGCTCAGAACACATGCACAAATTCTTTGCTTAACCAAAGCAAGCATACATGAGGTTTTAAATATCTCTGCACATTTATGTGTAATTAAAAAAAAGTATTCATGTGGAAAGGAATATGTTTAACTCTCTGAGTCTTAGATTTATTAAGAATATGGTAATGGAGGCAGATGAGTTTTTCTGCCTAGTCTTCTTGGGGAAAACACAGTCATTGTCCTTTTGGGTAAATACAGTATGCTATCTGGATTAAAAAGTAAACAGTCAGAGACATTGGAATTACAACTGATCTATCTATTGCACCTGAAAAACAAAGGAACTATCGGAAATGTTTTTTTTTTTCCCCATGAAACATCCAGATCCAGTGTTTCAACTGGAAACACGTTTCACAAATCTGAAACAATAATCACTCTGCAGCCACACCCTGAAGTAAATTATTCAGCACTTCATTCACTGATATAAAAAGCAATTCATACATTCTTTCCCCGATACTTTAGTGCAATTTCAAGGTTAAATGGAGAGGACTACTGGAGTGAATGTACTACCTAATCCAAAAGCGTCTGTTAATAGCTCTAAGGCAAGGCCATTTCTACACTCAGCTCAGAAACAAACACAGAATCTTGCCAAACCAGTTCCATCAAAACAAAACAAAACAAAACAAAGAAACCCACACTCACTGGCCAATTCTGCTGTAGGTAAATGCTTCCTGAAAAGACAGAAGGCTAATTGAGCCGTTCCCTAAAGAGAGATGCCTCATGAGCCTGGGGAAGCAGCAAACTTACCCACGTGGCATCTCACAAAGCCAGCTTTCACTTTAAACTGGGCCCTTAGCCACCATAAATAGAAGCTAAGAACTGGGCAGACTGGGTGATTTTGCTTATGCATACAAGGTGGTGGAACCCCTCCTGATGCTTCTCCCGGTTTTTTAAGGAAAGCAACTTCTCCTTGCCCTCATTCCCTTCCAGCCTACCCTTTCAGACCCACCTTCATATGCCAACTCTCCAATACTTTCCTTCCCTGGAAATAATCCACTGGTTACCTCCCTCCTCCAATATTCATTTACTGCCTCCTCTTCTCAGAACACTTCTACCAAACTCCACAGAAAATAAGGCGTCCTCTTCAAGGCTTCTCCTTAACAGGAGAAAAGAGTCTGGCTTTCAGATGACTTCTGCAGCACTCCCTAACCCTTGCCCCCACCCCTCCCAGGCTTGTGCAATAGGCTACCAGGCAAAATAGGTAAGATGGGTTTTGTTCAGTGGAAGGGGAAAAAGCAGTCAAGGTGGTTTTTATATACTTTGGTGGGTAGGACTGGAACGATTGTCTTGGCATGGAGAAAAAAGGGATGGCAAGCAATGGCAAATGAAATGATGGTTTATTAGGGGGAAAAGGAAACTGCAGCTGGACATTCAGACCCTTGGAAAAGAGGGCATTTGCTGTTAAGGCAGCACCAGTAATAAAGGCAGACAAGATGCAGAAGGCAGCTTATTAGAGCTGGGTGCTACGTCTTATCAGTGGAATTTTAATAGCAAAATCACAGCTATTGGCCCAAAGCAACTGATGCATAGGACCCAAACTTGATAAGAAATGGGACATATTTCACTAGGGTCTAGCCCATAAAACAAGTTGAACTTTTTGCTTGTTGTGGAAGAGAAATGGGGAAAAGGTTACCACTTAGCTAAGAGGCAGAAAAACAGCTTTTTCCCCACATTCATGTATTTTTGAAAGCTCTAAAGCTACATTTATTTGCTCTCTGGTTATTCAGAGCACTTCCTTGAGGGACAAGCAAAACTTTCTTCGAGTTGGATCAAAAGTTTTAATAAAGCTAACATACAAAACCTTTTTCTTCAAACTGATCTCCGTAACAGGTTTGCTAGATACTTTAAAAGAGGTCATTTCAATGCCAAGGAGTTATACTCGGTTTACATGCTGCCAATTTAGACACATTTTAAAGGTGTGCTGCTTTGTCCATAACAAACCCAATAGCTTCCATCCTGGGCCAAGGATAAAATGTAAGAGAACTGAACAGATGGACTAAATGGAAGGAAGCAAATGAGTTCTAAAAAAAGAAATGCCAAGTACAATATGAACATTATACTTCTTGTCTGAAGGGGGAAAGGCTAACTTCTGGAAGGCTAGATGAAAAGCAGTTTGCTCTACCTTGGATAGCAACATATTTCCAAAGCCCACAATTCTCGTAATTGCACCATCAAATGGTAGTAGCACTAAACAATAGTTTAACTGAAGCACCTAAAGGGCAAAGGGACATTACTTACAGAATATAATCATTTCCTAGCAAAGCAAGGGGTTTTTTGTTTTTGTTTTTTTGTTTTTGGTGGGATTGAAATTTCATAGATTCCACCAAAGTCTTGAACCTATATGTCCATGATCTACCCAGCAGGAATCCACTGCATACAAAAATGAGAAAAAAGAATACAAAAAAGAAACAATGGAAAAAATAAATTATTCTTTACTATCTATAATCCCAGGAATGGAGGTAACCCTACTGTATGTACGGCAAAGCTCGTAATGGATGCCAAGTTGTATTGCTGACTGCAGTACAATCCACTTTTTCACCCCAAGGCTTATTTGAAGCAATGCTACAAAGGGTATTAAAATAGAAATACCGTATGCCTCTTTGGAGTAGAAGCATTTAATCTCAATCAACCTGCAACTCATAGACACCACTGAAATGCGGCTAGAAAGTACTGAAAATTGGCAGTGTAGTTCTCCATCATTTGAAGTTTATTTTAATATTTTAAGATTAGGCATCAACTGTTAAAAAATAACAGCCAAGACCTCCCTGCTCACCATGTAAAAAGATAAAGAAAACCAGTCTCACACTCTTTCATGATGTACTCCAACATGATGTGGGCAGAAAAACCACTAACTAAAAGGATAGCCCATGAACACCACAAAATAGTTGCCTACCCTTGCCGCATCCTACAAGAAAGATCAGTAATTTTTTCTGCTAACAAGAACCAATCCTCCTAGAACCTGATTTTAAAATAGCCCAGATCCTGCAAAATCCTCATATGCTGTGAGATTATGGGCACCTACAATTAATTAATGGGGACTTAACTTTTTTCAAGATGGTTTATGGAAATGTAAAAATGATGGCAACATCAATCAAAATACCACTCATGTGAATGTCATATGAAGTAAAACAAAAAAGCAACACAATTATTTTAAATACTTACCCTTCTAATAGTGTATTTAAGGCTCACAGTGAGAAAAGAAGTAGAATGAAGCCATAACTTGAGTTAAAAACAATAGTTAATGTACCAACACTGCTGCTGTTTTAGAAATAGATTTGAAAAGCAAGGAGAAGCATTCAGTTCCCAACTTAGAAGTAATCATTGATTTAATGGACTAATGGAAGGAAACCAAATGTCTGTTAAACACAAAACACACTCTCACCTGAAAAAGCTTATTTTACTGATAAGAATTATTGCTACTTGGGGGGAAGCAGACAGCACTATCTGTACCAATTCACTAAACAACAGACTTTGTCCACTGTTTGAATAGTATTACAGACTGACATTTGGACAAAATTCAGATCTAGCTGAGTTTGTCCATTAAACCTCAAGTCCACTAATCCAAGGTCCATGAAATCAAACATGTATTTTATTATTGTTTATTTAAAATCATTAGATCCAGAAACAGGAATGAAGGCCAGAAGCTTTTATATTTTAGAAAACCAGTTTTCCCAAGAGTTCTCCCTGGAGCCACACAAGAGGGTTTTCTCCTTGGGATAGTGGATTTTTTTGAGTCTTACCTTCTCTCCTTCCTTCTTTCTGCTTCTCTCTTACTTCAATGTAAAATCTCAAGGACCAGTAATACTACTCAACTACTAGTAATAAGTTCTTGACTGGGTCAAACCCCCTTCCTTTTCTCTTATTGGTATTTTCTAAGTTTTATTTTGTCTTTTAACTACATTTGATTACACCAAGGGGAAACTGAGTGTTCCAATGCAGAAACTGGTGTTCCTATAGCACTAACAGCTTTCCCCCCTCTCCTTTTCCAGATGTGCTTCTGGAGAATTTAAAGTTTTCTCGGTGTTGTATGATTTAGTCAGCTCCAATAGAAATACCACCTTACAATGTTTTTCAGACTTCTTCTCCCTGAACAAACTAACATGACTAAAAGACAATAGAAAACATGTTTTTTGGAGATATAATGTAGGATGACAATGAAAAATATCCCAGATATCAGATAATCATAGATTGGGAAGCTTTAGCAAACAAATCTAAACAATCAAAGGAAATCAACAATTTTTGATACACAACTTTGGTTGTGTTATTTGGATATGTTGGAAAAGCAATGCGTGCTTTGCATTCTCTTTGAGATTCTTCCAATAGACTAGATCCTAAATCTTGCTAAAATCTGTAATCTGGAAATAATCTGTAAAGGATGAACAATGTTATGTTAATGACTTTGCCTTTAATAGGAATATATAACTGATTAGCTGGGATAATTCAGAGAAAAGAAACAAAAATATTGTTAGGGAAGACTGATTGCAAAACAAGGCCAAAAAAATGCTATTAAAAAGGTAGGCTCAAGGATTTAAAGAGGAAATAATTACTTTAAAAAAAAACACCTAAATCTGAATTTCTTTCACCTAGTATTACTTCACCACCTCGACCTCCTGAGCAAAAGGCAGGATATATATCTAATAAATAAATTTAAAATTATATTAAATATATTTTTTAAATGCTTTCCATCTATATGTGCTCATGATAGTCATTAAAAGATGAGAAGACTATGG